CCACCCTTACTTGGGCGGCCCCGCAGCCTCGACGCCTCGACGCCTCTGAGCGAAGCTTCGCCTTTGCGCGGGAGAAAACCCGGCGCCGCCTCGCCCGCGCTCCGCGCTGATTGGCTGGGCGCTGTGGGCACGCGTTAGCCCCGCCCCGCGGGGGTGTGGTCAGGGCCGCTGCTCGCCAGGCGCATGCGTGTTCCCACGCTGTGGCCAACCGCTGGGACGCGGTGGGCGGGGCGCTCTCGTGATGGACACGTCGCCTCCACCCCCCCACCACCACCACCCCGGGAGGCGTTTCCGCGGGTCCTGCTCCGAACCGCTGGAGGAAGACGCGTCCAACCCGGTCTCCATCACCCCGCCCTACCCGGCCGTCCTCGGTTCCCCGCTCAGGGGCGTGCGGGAACTGTCCTGAATTTGTGTCGCCGTTCCATCTCCCGCTTCCTGAAGATTTTGTTTGATTGCTTGTTTTCAGGTACAGGGTCTCACTCTGACCCAGGCTGGCTTCCAAACGCGTGGTAATCTTCCTGCCTTGGCTTGCTCAGTGCTGGGATTATAGGAGTAAACCAAACACCGATTTGCGTTTTCTTAGTTGTGATGACACACAGACATGGTCTTTGACATGGCAATACATAATAGTTTTGTTTAGGTTTGAGCATTGCAGTAACAAAAAAAAGTACAACACTATAATATTCTAAAATTCACTCCTTTTTACTCATTGTTGCTATAAGAACCACTCTTTTTTTTTTTTTGTTTTTGTTTTTTGTTTTTTCGAGACAGGGTTTCTCTGTGTAGCTTTGCGCCTTTCCTGGAACTCACTTAGTAGCCCAGGCTGGCCTCGAAAGCACAGAGATCCGCCTGGCTCTGTCTCCCGAGAGCTGGGATTAAAGGCGTGCATCACCGCCGCCCAGCGAGAATTGACTAGTCTTTCAAATTTGTGCACACACACACACACACACACACACACACACACACACACACACACACACGGGTATTCCAGCACGTGTGTGTACATGTAACGTGAAAAATCACAGGTCAGTTTGGGATGTCATTGCTCAGGTTCTTGGTAGTTTTGAGACAGGCCTCTCATTGGTACCTGTAGCTCATCAAATAAGCTAGGCTGGGTCCCTCGGATCTTCCTGCCTCTGCTTCCTCCACCTCTCCAGCACTGGGATCACTTGGCGGGCGTGTCCACCTGGTGGCCGGTTGGAAATGCTGTGACACTTACCCATCCACTGTAGAAGGTCTGTGTATATAGTATGAGAAAGCTGCTCTCAGCCTTTCCCCAACCTTTAAAACCAGCTGCTCTCAACCTGTGGGTCACGACCCCACAGGAGTCACATATCAGATATACTGAATATCAGACATTTACATGATGATTCATAACACTAGCAAAATCACAGTAATGAAGTAGCAACGAAATAATTTTATGGTTGGGGGTCACCACAACCACAACATGAGGAACTGTTTTAAAGGGTCAGAGCATTAGGAAGGTTGAGACCCACTGCAGCTAAAACTTAGACTAAATCTAGGCATCTAGCTGTGGGGATTGCCCATGTAGGGTAAAGTGGAGGTGGGAAATCCCACATGTACGCCCAGTCGTCTTTTATAAAGCTGGAGGCATGTCTTCTGGAACTGACTTTGAAATGGAGTTGTTCAGGCTGCCTCTGGTACCTCAGGAGTGACACAGTCATTGTTTGTTCTGCAGCTTAGAGGGCGGAGCAGAAAAGGAGTCAGATGGGTCATGTGGAGAAGACATTATTTTTAATATCTCAACATGATGTGTGCATCTATTCCTCCCCTCTGTGTGTGTATATGTGTGTATTTGACAAGGCTAAGTAATTTTTGACAATATCTTCCTAGGTGCTCTGAAGTGCCTGACATATTTTATAAAAAGTAGCAAAGCAACACACTATGTAAATATAGACTAGCAAAGATGTGTTCAACTGCAAATTCACGCTGCAGAGAAGCCATGTGATAGATCAGTCTCTTAGTGGATGTCTCAGTAGGGCCAGTGAGATGGCTCAGGAGGTGGGTGCTTGCTGCAGAAACATGGAGACCTGAATTCTATTCCTGGAACCTGGAGAGAGAGAGAGAGAGAGAGAGAGAGAGAGAGAGAGAGAGAGAGAGAGAGAGAGAGAAGAGAATTGACTTCACAAAGTTGTCTTCTGGCCTCTCCTATGCATGTATTGTGGCATGGTCTCCTCTCTCCTACAGTAATACTGGATAAAATACTGGATAAAATAAAAATAACAATTTGAAAATGCCTTAGTATGTGTTGGCTATTTTTTGTCAATTTGGCAGAAGCTAAGGAATCATCTGAGAGGAAGGAACCACAATTGAGAAAATGCCTCCAAAAGATGAGCCTGCAGGCAAGCCTATGGGGACATTTTCTTGATTGATGAACGACGTGGATGAGCCCAGGCCCTGGCAAGTGGTGCCACCTGCTGGGCAGTTGGTCCTGAGTAAGCCACGGGGAGCAAACCAGTAAGCAGCTCTCCTCCATGGCTTTTGATCCAACCCTTACCTCCGGGTTCCCGCCTTTGAGTTCCTGTCCTGACTTTCTTAAGGATTGGCTGTGATATGGAAGTGTAAGATGAAATAAACGCTGCCCCCGCCCGCCCGCCCCGATTTGCTTTTGGCCACGGTGTTTTATCACAGCCATAGAAACCCTGACACAGGTAAACCACCAGTGATAGACCACGAGGTCTGAGCTGGAGACTAACGAACGGATAAGAAGGAAAAGGCAAGAGAAGTAGGACAGGTGGTCTGCAGGCACAGGCCAACCGGGGCATGCACAGCCCACCTGTGAAAACAAACAGCGTGGCTGGTACAGTGTAAGGTCCAACATGAAGTCGGCAGGTGAGGGAGAGCAGAAGGAAGGACCCATTATGACTTACAGAGCTACATTTAAAATGAACTAACTTTTTTTTTTCTTCTGTGCTGGGGATCTAAGCCAAGGCCTTGTGCATGTGGAGTAAGTACTCTAACACCAGGCCACATTTGCAGAGTCCTTACTGTGCTCTCTCTCTCTCTCTCTTTTTCTTTTGAGGCAGGGTTTCTTTGTATAGCTTTGGAGTCTGTCCTGGAACTCACTCTGTAGACCAGGCTGGCCTCAAACGCAGAGATCTGCCTGCCTCTGCCTCCCAAGTGCTGGGATTAAAGGCATGTGCCATCATCACCTGGCTACACTGCTCTTTATAACACTTATGCTTTCAATAACAACATTTTATTTATTTATTTATTTATTTATTTATTTATTTATTTATTTATTTATTTATTTATTTATTATGTGTACAGTGTTCTGGCTGCATGTTTGCCTGCACACCAGAAGAGGGCATCAGATCCCATTCTAGATGGTTGTGAGCATGTGGTTGCTAGGAATTGAACTCAAGACCCCTGGAAGAGCAGTCAGTGCACTTAACCACTGAGCCATCTCTCCAGCCCCCAATAGCAACATTTTTAAGTTGGTTGCATTTTAATCACCAGATTTGAATTTTGCAATACTTTCAAATATAGCAGCTTGCCTTCAACTTGGGTGATCTAGGGACTTGGTCTTCTACATACATGCAGCTTCACAGGAGGGCGGTGCTCTTACACACACACACAGCTTCACAGGAGGGTGATGCTCTTACACACACACACACACACACACACACACGCACACGCACACGCACACGCACCACACACACACACGCACGCGCACAAACACACACACGCACAGCTTTATGGAAGGGTAGTGCTCTTGTAGACTTTGCAAACCTCCTGTGGGTGAAAGGCTCCATTTCTCAGGCCAGAAGGAGACAGAGCCTAGAATAAAGTAACTATTGTGTTCATTCCCAATTAGGATTTTCTAGACTGAACCAGAGATGAAGTCTCTGGACTCTCTGAAGGATGTGAGTTAGGAGGCATGCCTTCATTCTGGGGACAGCACCGACATTGGCAGAGAGGCAGGGATGGCCAGAGTTGAGCAAAAGTCCTGGCAGGGTATATGAGTCAGGGGTCTTTGGAGGGAGGTCACTGGTGGAATGAATATATATCAAAGGGGGATTTGTTAGACTGGCTTACACCATCTGCTCTGGGCAGTCCAACAACGGCTGTCTGCACACCAGCTATCTGGTGGCTGCTCAGTGCCAGCCTCAGCAGTTCCAATGTGGCACTGTAAGCCCGGGGGATTCCGGGAGAGCCAATGATGAGTGCCGTCTGTGTTGGAAGGCTGAAGAAGCTGGGTTCAGGTGTTTTCAAAGGACAGCAGCCACAGCAGCATCAGTGCAGGGGCAGCCATGGGTAAGAAAGCTGTCGGCGAGGCAGACACTCACCAGCAGAGGCTAGGCAAACTGGCAAATAGACTCTTGTGCATTGACCATAATAGAGCTCCCCCTCAGACTTCCTCACATCTGGGCCACCACAGAAGTGCTGCCCATGTGTAGAATGGATTTCCCCACTATGGTTTACCTAACCTTACAGGTGTGTCCAGTGGTGGCTTGCCTCTTGGAAGATTCTAGATCTTGTCAAATGGACAGTACTGATTATCACATAGAGTATGTCTCTGGAACTTTTTTTTTTTCCGAGACAGGGTTTCTCTGTGTAGTTTTGTGCCTTTCCTGGAACTCACTCACTCTGTAGTCCAGGCTGGCCTCGAACTCACAGAGATCTGATTGCCTCTGCCTCCCGAGTGCTGGGATTAAAGGCGTGGCCCGGCTCTTTTTTTTTTTTTTTTTTTTTTAAAGAAGTTTAAGGTGCATCTGTCCCTTGCAACCCAAGCACATTTCAGTGCCTACCAACGAATTTCATGGTGTCTTGAATGGAAAGACTGACTGCCATTTAAAAGTGAGAATTTTAAGAGGGGCTGGAACTGGGCTGTTCTCTCACACTCTTCCCCTTTCCCTTGGCTAAGTAGCTTGGGAAGACCTTGAACTTACTATCTTCCAGCCTTATTCTTCAGAATTCTGGAATGACAGATGTGTGCCACCACCATGCCAGTCTGAGAAAATACACTGCCAGGGCCGGTGAGGCTGCTCAGCGTGGAAAGGCACACGCCGCCGCCAAGTCTGATGACCCGAGTTTCTTTCCCAGGATCCATGTCGCAGGAACAACTGACAAGTTGTTCTCCTACCTCTGGAGGCATGCTGTGGCA